TTATTGAGAATGTGCTACTAGTTGAATGCTTAAAGCATAATCTGTTAAGTATTAGTAAGCTATGTGATAAATGATACAACATTAATTTTTTTCCTACTAGCTGCATATTAAGCCCAAATGATATTAATATTTTGCATGGTTTGAGGGTAAATAATGTTTATATGCTAGATTTAAATTGTATGAAAACTCCTAATGCTTTCTATTTGAAAACTATTTGTGATGAATCATGGCTTTGACATAAGAGACTTTATCACTCTAGTATAAAAAAACCTTAGGAGAATTACCCAAAAATACTTAGTGAGAGGTATATCAAAACTATCATTTTCATATTTTTTTAGACATACAAAATTTTAATATTATTTTTGCAATTATGATGTCTCATTATTATTACTTATTTCTTTCTTCAATATAATTATCTTTGTACTTAGTGAAATTTGAATTTTTAGATTATTGATTTTGGAAAGAATAACTTGAAAATTTGGAAAGTGTACAAAGTTACAAAAATCAAAAGAATGCAAAAGGGTTTGCAAATTGAAAAGAGGCACAAAATTAGCCCAATTATAAAAAAAGATGCACAAAGTGTGCCAAAAATATTGAAAAGATGCGTAATGTCGCCACAAGTATATGTTCTTGTTTCTATTTTTTAATCTTTAATTTCAAATCAATCTAATGTTCAATTATTATTTATATTGGAACTTGACTTACATTAATTTTCATTTCATCATTTTTATAATAATTTTTCTTATCCAATTGTCTATACTGATTCATGAACTTTATATATTTATCTTGTGTTTGTTATCTCTTAACTTGAATGATATGAATCTTTAATTTTCTTTAATGAAAATTAATCTTGTTATTGCAATTATAACTTTATCTCTTTCAAGATGAATTATCAAATGCTTCTTGTAAAACTTCTTATATTTATGTTGTCGTCTTTTTCTTCTTCTCTTTTTGTTGTTGTTAAAAAGGGGGAGAAATATTGTTTGAACTTTTGTTAGTTTTTGTGTTTTTGCTCGGATTTGTTTTGAGTTTGCATTTGATTGATTGTGTTTTGTATTTTGTGTGTTTTGTTGCTTGTAGTTGTGTTTTGTTTTTTTTTGTTTTTGTTTGTGTTCTGTTTTAATTTTTTGTTTGTGCTTTGTGTGATAAAAATTAAAAAATTAAAAAAAATTTAACCTTTCATAATAGAAAACTTCTTACATTCACATATTTATTCATTTAGGAGGAGTTAAAGAGAAATTTAAGATCTTCAATTGTACTCAAACAATAATTGTTTTGCCATCATCAAAAAAGGGGATATTGTTGAGATAGTTGCTACTTATCTTTATATGTTTGACATTCTTATAATTTATATGTTTTTTATGATTCCAAATATTATTATTTTGATTATTATTTCTCCTAACATATTTTGTAAGAATTATTTTTGCTCTTGTGTGTACTAACTTTTCAGGAAAAATTAAATTCCAGATTGTTGAAGACTTCAAATCATGATCAACTTAGATTGTTTTGTACATTGAAGTCTATATATTTTTATTTTATTAAGTCTGAGAGAGTGTGATTGTAATTGAGTAACTGAGCACACACATACACCGAGGGAGAGTTTTAAAATTTGTAATTTTTAAACTGATCGTATGGTACGATATAATTTCGTACAGGTGGATCTGGTCAGTTATTTTTCCCCAATGAGCAATGGAACAAATAAAAAATGGTCAAAATTTTTCTAAGTACAGATCATACAGACGAAATGTTTAGTTCATCCGTGGACGATCTACTCTGGATTTGGCAAATACACTGCTCGTCCAAATGAAATATTTAGTTCGTCCATGGACGATCTGCTCTGGATTTGGAAAATACACTATTCATCCAGATGAAATATTTAGTTCGTCCTTAGACGATCTGCTTTGGATTTGGAAAATACACTGTTCGTCCAGACGAAATGTTTAATTCATCCCTGGATGATCTACTCTGAATTTGGCAAATACACTATTCGTCCAGACGAAATGTTTAGTTCATCCCAAGACGATCTACTCTAGATTTGGTAAAAAACACTATTCATCCAGACAATATTTTTAAATCGTACCGAGACGAAGGGCTCTGTTCTATATACTTATAATTCGTCCTGAATTTTTGTACCAACAAACTTTGAAAAATAACTGTTTGTACCGGATGAACCATGTTCGTACAGAATGATGATCAGGTACGAAAATAGTTCGTACCCATTCATAATGAGTTCGTAGATAATAGTTTTTGAACTATTCGTACGTACAAAATTCGATCGTATGGGACGATCGTGGACATTCAAACTTGAAAAATTCAAATTTTCTGGACGGTTTTTTGTGTCTTTTCTATAAAAGGGCCACTTAAAACTGTCATTTAATCTTTTTGTCTACTGGTCTTCATGAATGGTAAAGGGCAATTGAAGGAGTGAGTGTGAGAGAGTGTTTAAGAGAGATTTCTTCCTATTGGAGCGTGAATGGTTCACTAAATTACTCAAGGGCAAGAATCTGTGTGTATGATTTATGTTTGTTCACTCTTTCTCTTATCCTTCTAGATTGCTCGTGTGAAGTTTGTTTAAAAGGATCCAGTTCTCTGTCGATACTCGAGGAGTGTGAACAGCGAAAGATTCTCTGCCTACACTTGGAGAGTGTGAACAGCCGAAGGTTCTCTGCCTACACTTGGAGAGTATGAATAGCAGAAGGTTCTCTACCTGCACTTGGAGAGTGTGAACAGCCGAAGGTTCTCTCCCTACACTTGGAGAGTGTGAACAGCGGAAGGTTCTCTGCCGACAATTGGAGGGTGTAAAAGGACAATGGTTCTCTACCCCACCGGGTAGTGGTGGAAGAGAGTTTTTGTGAAGGCTTCTTTGCCTTGCTGTGGGGATAAAAGGAGAGGCACTAGTGATAATAGTGCAATACCTAAAGTGAGAGACTTCAGGAAGTGGATGTAGGTCGTGTTTGACTGAACCACTTTAAATCTTTGTGTTTTTTTATTTCCGCTACTTTAATTTCTATCTTTTTATTTTTTTGTGGTTGGAAAATAGTTTTAAAACTTGCTACAAAGAATCCATCGGTTTCAAACTTTTTAAAATATCAAAAAGAGGAATATTTTTTTTAAATAACCAATTCACCTCCCTCTTGGTTATCCTTTGAGACATAAGCTTAGGTCTAACAACCTAACTCATATTCAACAAGTTTCAACAGTTCTATGCATTCCTATTTCCATAGATGCTTTTGAAAGTGCATTCAGTACTATTGGTAGAGTTTTGGATTAGCACTGAAGTGCATTAAAATATAATATTGTCGAAGCACTAATTTGTGCAAAAGATTGGTTATATGGAGTGCAGGGTTAGACCATGATTTACTTGGTACCTCTTTTAATTTAATTTTATTGTTTATTTGAATTAAACCTATTCTTTTGTAGTTATGATTGACCCATAACTTGATAATATTATGAAGAATATCATAACCTTAAACGTTGAACAAAATCCAAAAGAAGATGGTGACAGTTCAGTCAACAGAAATAATTCTGTTGGCCTTTGAGAATTTGAGGGAATTGTTAATCAAATTGTATTATAAGATGAACTTAATACTTGATTCCTATCTATGGCTATGCAAGTTGCTTGTTACCTCAATGCCTATGTAGGTTGCCTGGTGCCTAGCAATGGGCCAACCTTTGTAGTTGTAATTGAGGGGACTAGTTGTTGTGTTGTTATTGGTTCTAGACATGTGGTTGCTACCTTACTGGTTTTGTTCTTGTAATTGAGGGTTGCTCCTGCTGGTAGTTACCTTAATGCTTGCTAGGTTGTCATTGCGGTTCTGGTTCTTCTTTAGACAAGTTATCCAACTGCTGTAAAGAATTTCTTTATATATATATATATATACCGAATAAGATGTATAACAACCATGCTAGGTATAAATTTTGTGAATCTTTGATTATCAAAACTCAGATCTTTTCAAGGGCTATCAACATTTGACACGATCCGAAAACCCAAATCTAATCCGACACAAAAATTTCAGGTTCGGGTCACCTGAAAGCGAACCGGGTAGAGTTCGGGTCTTGATTTTTGACCCGTTTTGATTTGTTGTTCGGGTTGACCCGGAAACCCGAAAATGACCCATTTTAACTCGGTATCCTGTAGTTCAGCGTATTTATGAGATTTGGCCATGCTTCATAGCGAGCAAACTTCGTTACTTCTGATCAAAATGTTGTAACTTTTGTTTCGATTGGAAGGGAACGTCGTCCGGGAGAGATGATTAACATCAATGATGAGAATGAGAAGATAAAAAACAAATCCTAGACTCCCCATCGTCGAAGTAGCGAAGTCGAACTGCAACGAAGGAGTCGAAGAAGCGACTCGTGCAATCTCCACACCTCCTGCTGAACGATGTCGAACAACAATGAACAAAAGGGAGAAATTTACCTTCACAGCGAGCGATCTCTCGTCGTTGCTTCCGATCAAAATGTTGTAACTTCCGATAACGTCGTCGAAGGAGCGAAGTTGAACTGCAACGAAGGAGCCGACGAAGAGACTCTTGCAAGCACCACACCTCCACCTCCAGCGGAACGAAGCCGAACATCAATGACGAAAGGAAGAAAGTTGCCTTCGCAGCGAGCGAGCTCTCGTCTTTGCTTTCGATCAAAATGTTGTAACTTTCGACAACGTTATCGAAGGATCGAAATCGAACTGCAACGAAGGAGCGACTCATGCAATCTCCACACCTCCAGCAGAATGAAGCCGAAGAACGACGAAGAAAAAGAGAAGATAAAAAGCAAACTGTAGACGCGCACGAAACGGAGAAAGTTACCTTAACAGCGAGTGAGCTCTTGTGGTTTTGCTTCTAATCAAAATAGGGTTTAGGGTTTAGTCCCGGGTCAATTTTAGATTGGACCCAAATTTGACCAGTGATCTGATTTTGATGGCACTAATCTTTCCCATGTCAGCTTATTACATGACCCTCTGTGAAGATAAAGGCTGCAGCATGTTGTGGCCTTTGTGGACCAGCTTTGCACAACATTGATCGTGCTCCGGTGCCACAGGAGAGGAAAACGGTGAGAAGCCCATGAAAAAAAAAAAAAAAACTATTATCTAATCATTCGTAACGTGCATTCTTCGCAGCCCCTTGTTTCTTTCACTATATTGGATGGACGGCAATGAAAAAAAAAAAAAAAAACATCAATCTAAAGAAGAAGAAGAAGAAGAAGAAGAAGAAGAAGAAGAAGAAGAAGAAGAAGAAGAAGAAGAAGAAGAAAAAAGCTTTGGGATCTGGAGTGGAGGTAGTTCGTTCTTCAAGCTTCCGGTAGGGATTCTGGCAGTTGCAGGAGATAGTTGCGACTAATTCTGTGAGTTAGGATTCTTTTGTGCAGATAAAGGAAGTGGTCTTGGTAATAAAATGGATGCTGCCCCGCCGTACTTCGGGGTTTCTACTGCAGCAGCAAACACCATCGCCATCGCGCATACTTTTCTTCCAAAGAGGATAAACTTTTCCTTTTTTTACAGCCCGCATGCCTCTTGCTTTTCTACACTTCACATCTGCAATGACAGAGGGTGCGGGGGGGCTAACAGGCGACTGAAGGCATATTCTAACCAACGGCAATCAATATCGACATCATCATCGTCGTCGTCATCTCTCCTAAAAAACAAAAGCAGCAGCAGCAGCAGCACTACCAGCAGTACAAGAAAGACTGTAGAAGAGCACCGCCGCCAGCAACGGCATAAGCAAAAAAGTGGGGAAATGGCGGCCGAGGAGTGCGTCCCATCTGCGGAAGAGGCATCCATCAGCGTCCGTACGCTGTACCAGAACGGAGACCCTCTAGGTCGGCGGGAGCTCGGGAAGTGTGTCGTTCGCTGGATCTCCCAGGGGATGCGATCCATGGCTTCAGACTTGGCATCGATGGAGATTTTGGGTGAGTTCTCCGAGCTGAGGCAGCGACTGGGCCTTGGCGTGGGAGCGGTGGCAACATCAAGTGTCCCCAATGGCAATGGCACCGGCACAGGAAGTCTGGCCTTTGTAATCCAAGCTCAGCCTTACCTTAATGCAATCCCCATGCCCAAAGGACTGGAGGCCCTTTGCTTCAAAGTCTGCACCCATTACCCCACCCTCTTCGATCACTTCCAGCGCGAGCTCCGTGATATCCTGCAGGACCTCCAGAGAAAGTCCGTTTTCCCTGACTGGCGAGCCACCGAATCCTGGAGGCTTCTCAAAGAATTTGCAAGCTCAAGTACCTGTTTCTACTACTTCTTTTGCCTCTTATCCTATTGTTTTCTTTGATGTTTATAAGAGCTTTAGAATCAAGGTTCATTGCACTCATAAAAATTGAACAGAGTTGACAGACATTTCACCTTCCCCTAATTTAAAGTGAGCACAGAACACTTGGTAATTAATTATCAAAAGATCTTCGGAATTTTCATTGCTTTCTTAGTTCCTTGCTAAGCGTTTTTTATCCATTCGATCATTGTTTAAATCTCTGTAACATTTATTTACATTATTGGATTAGCAAACTATAAAAAAAGGATCTGAATTCTGTATTGGTGAGTGTTGGCTTCCTGTTGATTCATAAAGCAAAATAATAGACTGAACATACATTTAGTTTGATCAAATTTAGTCACTAGTCTCTTGAGTAGAATGACCGGTGATATGTTTGGGCTGTAGAATAATTTGCATCTACTGGTTTCAATTGTATTAATTGATTTTTTTTTTTGTACATATGTGATCTAGAGTATATACACTAATGTGTTTGTTTTAGACTAGCAGGGGAAACAAGCCCCATACATATGGATGAAAACCAAGTCACTAGATGAAAATTTGCAAAGAGTCATTATAGTTATATGCAACTTAGAATTGGAGTGTTAAAAGTATTTTTTGGGTCATTTAGTTGCCGAACTATCACATTGTGGTAATGGGTGGGGCAATAAAATTTCATGAAACCTTATCTAACATCTGCAACCTATACATGATACCCTTTTCACTCGAGATTTGGGATGATAATGATAGGAAATACTTGATTCCAAGTATTTCCTAATCACTTTAGCCAAAGATCTCACAGCAAAACTGCTGTCCACAGCAGGAAATCAGCCAAACAGTGGGAAAAACACGAGAAAAATGATAGAAACACGAAGTACGAACTTGTATTTTACTAGAAGATGAAAGGAAAATAGCAAAGATACAAGGATCCTCTATTCGAGAGGAGGATCGCACTCTCCCAAGTCTCTAGAATACGATCTAGAGCCCAAATCAACAAGAAGAACAAGAGAAAACTTCAAAACAATCACATAACCCTAAACCACCCCATTACTCCCTACTTAATGCATACAATTCAAAATAGACACAAAAGGACCTAATTGCCCTCACTTCCCTTCGTTTTGGCTCCAAGAAACCATTTGAAATTCAAATGGGCCCCACCTCTAGCCTCCCTGCGCCGTCCGCTTCTTTCTCCGCCCGCCTCCTTCGGTAGACGCGAACCGGCCCGCTGGATTGGGCCGGCTGGACCGGTCCAGGGAGGACCGGTCTAACAGATAACTAGTAGAATTCAAGCAAACCGGCCTAAGCTCATAATCATAGGCACACAAAGTATTTATATATAAGATTTAATCCCAAAGTAGCCCTCTGACTTCCTATGTGGTGAATTTAATCATTCCAAATTATCGCATTTCTCCAATTTAGTCTTTCGACTGACAAGATTGGTCCAAAAATGAACCCTCATATAAAAATTCAAATATAAAATTGGCCCCAACTCAGTCCCCCAACTTAGTCCCCAAGGGATTATTATCAATTTTGTATGGTTGAGGGACTAAATTAGTGAAATATGAAACTCTGGGTCTAAATAGTCAGTGGACTGTCATACTTTTCTTTACAGGGGTGTTATGCGACTTCCCCCTTTTTTCAAAAAGGATTGCATTTTTATTGCAAGCAATGATGGGTTTTCTGCCTAGTGCACTGAAAGGTGTTTTGCAAAGTTGCCAAAGTGATATATATGATGCTTGCCAATGGTGTTAGGAGATATGGTGCTCGTTGGTGGTGACAGGAGATTTATCTCTCTATTTTTAATTCTTTTCATTTTCTCTCCCTTTTTTTGAATGGTTATTTATGTTTATATATACATATAGCCTATATATATATATATATATATATATATATGTGCGTACATATAGCCAAGTGCTATATAATACGCTTCTGAGGGGTGTTAGGATATATGGCGCCTGCTAGTGGTGCCAGTAGAGCTCTCTCTCTATGTTCAACTCTTTTCATTTTCCTTCCCATCTTTTTGAATTGTTATATATATGTATTTATAATGTGCATGCATGCATCCCCTCACAAGTTTTATTCTTTTTCATTTCGCTTTGTTGATTTCATTTTATTCATTGCGCTGGATTATGGTGGAGGGCTCAGATGTTGAACTTTTGGCATACATATTGATGTTAACAATTCCAAACAATTTAGTTTTGACCTCTTTTTAGTATAGAATTCATGCTTTTATAGAAATGGATGGATTTTGACTATGATTGTTCAATATATATGTTGCCATTGGCTACATTTTATGTTGTGCTTTAACACTAATCAGATTATATACCTTGGAAATAATTCAACCATAGGGCTTTTTTTAGCTCGAATTGTTTTCTAAATTGTTGCCTAATTGCTTTATGGGCAAAATAATACTAAAACTTAAGTAATAATAGATTTGGGAATTGCCCAACACCGCCCCTCTTGCAAACTCTATTTTTCAGCCCTTTCAGAATTGTTCGATTTGTAACCTCTGTTTGCCCATTTGCTTGGGGATGGGCAACAGCTGTGTGGATGAGCTGAATATGAAAATCCTTACAAAAAGATATAAAAATCTTCCCAGTGAACTGTGTCCCGTTATCAATGATGACTCTTGCAGGAATGCCAAAGCGACAGATTATATTCTTCCACAAGAATTGCTTGGCATTTGCTTTAGTAATCTTCACCAAAGGTTCTGCTTCCACCCATTTGGTGAAGTAATCTACAACCAGGATAATAAATTTTTGTTGTCCAGTGGCTATAGGGAAGGGTTCCATTATATCGATTCCCAATTGGGCGAAAGGCCAGGGACTCTGCAGTGATGCAAGCTCCAGAGCGGGTGTATGGTTGAGATTGGAATGCAATTAGCAATTTTTGCACTTTTGAGTAAACTCAAGTGCGTCCTATTTCATTGTAGGCCAATAGAATCCCCGTCTCATGATCTTATAAGCCAACGCTCTTCCTCCCATATGTTCTCCGCACACTCCTGAATGAACTTCTCTGAGTGCGTAATCAGCTTCTGAAGGTGGGAGACATTTGAGATATGGTCTGGTGAATGAGTGCTTATACAACTCGTCACCGATAATGGTGAAATTTGCTGCTTGTCTCCGAAGTCGCGTTGAAGCCATGGACTCTTCAGGTAGTACCCCATCCTGTAGAAAAGACAAGATGGGATTGATCCAAGACGCCTTTTTTGGTTCATCGATTGAGTGTATGACCCACGGATGTTGAATACTTAGAAAGTGGATCTCCTCGATACACTTTCTTTTATAAAGATCTCCCGTTGTTGATGTAGCAAGTTTGGAAAGAGCATCTACTTTTGCATTTTGCTCTCGGAGAACATGTATGATCTAATGCTTTCTTATAAGGGCAAATAATAACTTCACAATGCTGCAATACTGGGCTAGTTACAGATTGTGGATATCAACTTCCCCTTCACCTGAGAGGCGACTAATTGGGAATCAGTGTGGACTATTAGGTTATGGACCTCACAGTCAATTGCTAGTCATAATCCAGCAATGAGGGCCTCATATTCTGCCGTGTTGTTTGTTGCCGGGAACTTGAGTCGGAGCCCATACTCAAGGGTAACTTTCTGTGGAGAGATTAACAGAATTCCGGCCCTAGTGCCAGAACTTCCAGAAGCTCCATCGACATACAACGTCCATTATGGAGGAGAAGGCGAAGCACTTGGTTGAAGATCGGATGCTGGGACGGTGCACTCAACTACAAAGTCTGCCAGTGCTTGAGATTTAAAATCGGGCCTAGGCAAGTAGTGAATATCAAATTCTCCTAGCTCTACAGACCACTTAACTAGCCTGCACGATGCTTCTGGCTTTTGCAGAATACTTTTTAATGATAGATTTGTGTAAACCCTAATTGAACGGGCTTGAAAGTAAGGGTGTAGTTTTCTGGCAAAATAAATTAACTCCAATGCTGTTTTATCTGCTAAAGGATAACGTCATTCTATTTCAGATATAATTTTACTAACATAATAGATGGGACGTTGTACAACATTTTCTTCTCGTACCAAGACTGATCTAATGACTTGGGCAAAAACAGCCATATACAAATACAACTTTTCTCCTAGTGTCGGTTAGAAAGTAGGGGCGGGGATGCCAAATACTTTCGTAGTTATTCAAAGGCTTCTTAGCATTCATCAGTCCATTGAAATCAAGACACCTCTAAGTATCTTGAAGAAGGACATATATTTGTCTCTTGAACGTGCTAGGAAACGAGAGTGTTGCAATTCTCCCATTAAGCCTTTGGACCTCCTTGATATTCTTTGGTGGCACCATATCTCTTAGTGCCTTGATCTTCTTGGGATTAGCTTCAATCCCTCTGTGGATTACCATAAACCCCAAAAACTTTCCAGAAGCGACTCCAAAGGCGCATTTAGCTGGTCGCATATTATAATGTCTTAATATGTGGAAACACTACTTCAGGTCAGAGATATGTTGAGATTTTTCAAGACTTTTCACCAACATATTGTCCACGTACACCTCTATAGTACGCCCAATAAGGTTTTTGAAAACCTTATTCATGAGCCGTTGATAAGTTGCTCCAGCATTTTTGAGTCCGAAGGATATTACCCGATAGCAGTATAACCCTTTGTCTGTTTGAAAGGCTGTCGCTTCTTCATCAGCAGGATTCATCTTTATTTGATTATAAACAGAGTAGACATCCATAAAGCTCAACATCTGATGTTCAGAAGTGGTATCGACTAACTGGTCAATACGAGGAAGGGGAAAGCTGTCTTTCGGTCAGGCTTTGTTGAGATCTGTATAATCTATACACATTCTCCAAGCTCAGTTAGGGGTGCAAACAAGTCGAGTCGAGCTCGAGTCAGGGGGTGTTCGAGTCGAGTTTGACTGCCAAATACTGAACTCGAGCTCGAGTCGGGCTTGAAAGACGAGCTCGAGCTCGAGTCGAGCTTGAAAGACGAGCTCGAGCTCGACTCGTCTCACGAAATGAGTCGAGTCGAGCGGATGCCTCATACGTGAATCTTGCTCTTCGCTGTCCTGCTCCCCGTCGCGCTCCTGCTCTCACACCCGCTCCCGCGAGGCACCCGCTCCCACAGTCCCACTCCCGTGAGGCATCCGTTCTCGCAGACGCGACACAACCCGCTCCCGTAGTCGCGCACTCGCTCTCACTCCCGCTCTCGCTCGCTGTCACGCTCCCGCTCCCGCACCCACTCTCGCTCGCTGTCCAGCTCTTGCCGACGCGACCCGCTCCCGCCGACGGGACTCGCTCCCGCAGACGCGAGCTACCCGACGAGCCATCGAGTTGATTAGCCCAGTGTCCAAGCTCGAGCTCATTTAGCGTTCGAGCTCGAACTCATGTTCAAGCTCGACTTGCGAGCTCGATAGCTTGACTCATCGAGCCCATTAATGAGTCGAGCCCGAGCCGGCTTGACTCGGTTGTACCCCTAGCTCCAGTCCCCTTTCGAACCATGACAACATTCGCTAAGTGGGATAGTGAACTTCCTGTATAAATCCAGCATCCAGAAGTTTATCCACTTCCTGCTCGATCGCTTGCTGACGATCTGGAGCAAAGTTTCGTTTCTTTTGGATAATCGGTTTGCATGTCGGATTGATTTTGAGGGAGTGCACTATCACTTTGAGGGAGTGCACTATAAGTTGCTCCAACATCATCTTAACATTGACGACCGACGTCATCTTGACATCGATGGTCGATGCTATCTCGACTTCAAAGCTTGATGCCCATTGCACAACATTGATGCCTGATTCTCGACAATGTTGTCGTATCCTCTCTCAATATCTGATATGACATTCACCCCCAATTCTCGGCATCCTAATATTAGTCATTTTAAGCGCATATACTTATTAAATGACTTATTATTTCTCAATTATTATTAATACTCTGCTTATTCAATTTTTATACACTATCTTTATAATATAAAAATTATAATATCATGTCCAACTTATATCTGTGTTCTATATTTTCAATAATTAATGTGTTTCGTATTTTTTTTTCACTCTTCTCTAGCTTCCCCAGAGAAGAGTGAAAAAAAAATACGGAACACGTTAATTATTGAAAATATAGAAAACATGTTCCGTATTTGTGTCTTGTCATATCCGCATCATCGTGTCTGTGTCTGTGTCTGTGCATCATAGATGATATAAAAACTTCACAAAAACTTGGATAGAGCCATAGATATTTTCTAAATTTTTTTGGGAAATATAACTCTTGAAAAATCATCGCCAAAGATGAATGGACTAAGTTGATTGAAGTTAATAGTTAGAGCACATACCTATCTACTTCAGATTTGGTATATTCCATAAAATTTCGCCCTATGTTTTCCAAGTAAGAAGTGCAACGATTGTGTTTTAGTTGCAGATGATGAGTTGCGAAGTACAAGGATGAAGAACTAGCCACTGTTACTGTCAATTTGTCTAAACTAGATCCTTCAACTCATCTTATAAGTCGATGACATTTTAGGGATTTTAAGGATTTTGACGATTCCATCCTGAATGACTAATTTGAAGCATATCACCATAATGAGGTACCCAATTGTAGATTTTTTGAAAACATCAACCAACCTGAAACAATTCCTTGACCTCACAGACCCGGTTGTAAATTTAGCCATTTTTAACTATTCTTGCTTGTCATTTTCCATCTTCCATTGCCTGTTCTAGATGAAAATTTGCACTTTTTGGTGTGGTGTTATCTGTTCCCTTATAAAAATACTTTGTATCGAAACGGGAAAACTGGATTGGCTTTGAAGTCTAGATATGTAACCACGACTATGTTACTGACAAGGGTACGTGTTAACCAAGGCAGCATTTGGTTCGGTAATTACCTCAAAAGCTGACCATATGAGGTCAGTTTTCAATGTTAAGTATTTGCTCGCACTTGCTTCTTTGTCAAACAAATTTTCTGTTTTGAGTGAATGCTTATTAGCATTCGTAATGATGGAATAGCTTTCATAAATACTTTAACTTCAGTTGGAATTCCTTGAAAATGATCTCCATACAATAAATCACAATTTCACCCTAGAAAATTTAAGTCAATTTTTGAAACAGGCCACATGGAGTTGGAGAGGTTTAGAGGAAAATAAGAACAGTTTTGGGTTAATTTACAATCACCTTGTTTCCAATTATTTTTTGTTGTATGGTATAACTCATAAATGGGCATCTTCATTACTTATTTGTGTACCTTTTTATCTGTCATTTGCCTTGTCCGTGAAACACAGCAGACAAATAAAGAATGTTTGCATTACAAAATGTATTTGCAGCTCAGCATCGAGCTGCTGTACGAAAAATGTCTGGTACAAAAAATATGCATGGTGGTCTTGGAATGCAGCTAGAGAAAGCAACAGTAGTGCAGGCCAAGATAGAGGACTTCGTTAATCATATGTCAGAACTTCTTCGTATAGAACGGGATGCAGAGCTAGAATTCACCCAAGAAGAGTTGAATGCTGTCCCTCATCCTGATGAGAATTCTGATTCGCTGAAACCGATTGAGTATCTTGTTAGCCATGGGCAGTCTCAACAAGAGCAATGTGACACAATTTGTAATCTCAATGCTATCAGCTCTTCTACTGGTATGTTGAATGTTTTTTGTATTTCTTGTTATCTCTTGCATGATTCCTTGTTCTTGGTCTAATCATTACCAGTCAATCAGTCTTTCTAAATATTGCAACAAACTATTAAAATTAAAAGTTATTTACATAGAAAAAATTCATATGTATTATTGACTGAAATTTGGTGTGTAAATGCATATATCCATATAAGGTGAGTACAAACAAAAAAAATTGATAGGTTGAATATCATGAATATCCTACTAAAAATATAACCTTTTTTTTTTCCTATTATAATATTCTCTCTTAAGTTGGAGTGTATATATCAAAAGTTACAGCTTTGTTACCAAGGTTAGAAAAACAATGAGTACTCAGAGTTTTGATAAAGATATCAGTTAGTTGTTTTTTACTTGATTTATGAGGAGTGATGATCTTTGCGAACTTACATCCCAGATGAAGTGACAACTCAACTTCAATATATTTGTTTGTTTCATGGAATATATGATTGCTTGCAATGCAGATAGCTACCTAATTTTCAAAGTTACAGATCATAGGTTGGGTTACAGGAAAGCCAAATTCTTCTACATAAGTGTTGATCCCACATCATTTGCAAGCAGAATGAGCCATTGTGCGGTACTTAGCTTCAACACTCAATTTAGCTACAACTATTTGCTTCTTACTTTTTTAGGATACTTGATTTCCACTCACAAAAATATAGTATCATGAAGTTGACTTTCGTTCTTCAATAAATCTAGCATAATCAGGATTGGAAAAAGCTTCGATCCTCAAATAATTTTGTTTCTAATAAACTATATCTTTTTCTAAAGATTTCTTAATATATCTAAAAAATTTAGTCTAACTTCTCAGTGTATTTTCTTTGTATTTTGAATATACTGGCTGACTACACTAACAAACTAAAGATATATCACACTCTGTGATGGTTAGATAATTTTGACAACAAGACATCAATACCAAAAAGGATTTTCATAGCTTTCGTCATTCTCAAATGAATAAAAAGTTCCATAGGAGAATTAACAAGCTTACACCCAAGAAGATTAATTTCCTCATGTGGGCTCTGAAAATCCATGCCTTGGCCTCCCCTCTTTCTGGGGAGTTTTAACGGATTAAGTTTCAGGGTATACTTTTAGAAGGCAGATTGGGTTTGAAATAAGACACAACCCAGAGTTTTCACCCTCATTTTGCGAGGAATTTAGATTCGAGTTCTAGTTTTCTATAGGCCCAAGCCCCTATATTTAATTACTCATCCCGATAACGAGAGAGAACTTTCAATTGAGGCTAGTCGTTTGTCAAATACATAGAGAATACGTGGTATCTGATGTATAGCAACAGCATGGGTTTAGGTACTTAAAAATTTAATATTTAAAATTGAAATTTCACCATCTTGCACTTAAAGCGGATGGGGGGGGGAATGGATGATGAGCCTGATCAAGTCCCATGGTTCCGTCGTCTCGGGCCATCGTGGTCCCTAGTATACTTAGTTAGAGGAGGCAGTCGACCCAACCTGACAGAAAGATTCTTGTCGCATAAGGTACCTTGTAGACCTGGAGTGGAAGTTTGTCTAAGGGGACGAATCTGAATCTATCTTACCTAACAAAGGACTTTGTGCCCTGTCGATCATATCTCATTGATTCATATCTCAATAATTTAGTGTCGTCGGGGAGCTTATGGACTCTAGCCATGATCGTAATTTAGTGGTTCCATTTGACAACAAACCACCCGATTTAAAGGGCCCCGATCATAATCGTTTTTCTGTGGCGCCATTTGATGGAAAAATTGCTGCTTAGAGAATACGTGTCACGTTCTTGCTGGTAGGAAACTGTTTGAGAATGAATTCTAGTGATATTCTCGACCAGACATTAGCTCTTTGTGAACTGAAGTAATTTTTAGATTTGTCCACCTATGCAAACTGTTGCGGATGATGGATGTCTATTTTCACTTTAAGTGTTTGATAATTTATTTCATTTTAAATTTCTTGATTTTTGGTATTTTCTTGGAGTTTCATGGGTATTTGGGAAGCATATAATCGGTTGAGATTTACGTTTAACCCGGCCGTCATCAGGGTAATTATGAGGAATTTCATTTATGGATTGAACATTGTCGACTCCATCAATCTGTCGATATAGAATTGGGTCATTGTCGGCTGTATGCCCTTGTTAGAGAATTTTTATTGTTTATAGGCCTTGAAAGTCTAATATGAACGTATAAAAATAAATATCTTGATTGACATCGTGACTGTATATTTGTTTAATAGTTCAAGCCGCATCGACTCCTTTCTACTCGCATTGAAGAATCGGACTTGAACTTAAATTTATTATTTGACTCGCGCAGCTTCCTCAGGTGTCACATGTTACTCATAACACGCTCGCCGGAGCCCATGCTGATTTTTAGGGGGTATTTTTGTAATTATCTATTGAACCTTGACAACTCTGTCTAATTGCTGATAGGGTTCATTGTAGGCTGTGCACTTTTGTTATGAAATTTTCTTGATTATAGGCCTTGGAGGACTAACATGAACAAATAAACACAAATATCCCAGTCGACGTCATGATCGTATATTTGTTTGATGGTTCGAACCATGTCGACTCTTATTAACATGCATAGAAAGGTCGGGTTCAACATATAGCCGGTGCTACCTCAAAGTCTCCAAAATAATCATAAAATGTTTGGCGCTATCTTTTTTATAAGCAGAATATACCAAAATGTCACCTATGAAAACAATCACAAACTGATCTAGAAAATTTATGAACATTCTGTTTATCAGATCCATAAAGACGGCTGGTGCGTTCGTCACCCCAAATAGCATGAGAAAAAATTTGTAGTGTCCGTACTGAGTACTGAAAGCTATCTTCACCACATTAGCCTCTCTCACCTTAACTTGATAGTAGTCAGATCATATATTAATCTTCGAGAATACAGAAGATGCAGCAAGCATATCGAATAGATAATTAATCTGTGTCAGATGATACTTTCTTGGTAGTGACTTTATTCAACTCCATGTAGTCAATGCACATACGCATCGTAACATCTTTTTCTTCAAAAATAGAACATGTACTCCCCACAGAGACATACTAGGATGAACGAATTCCTTGTTAACTAACTTCTGAAGCTGAACCTTAAACTCCTAAAGCTCCTTATGTACCATCCTATACGGAGCTTTGGAAATCAGGGCCGTACCTAAAATTTATCAATACATAACTCTAAGTCTCTGTCCGGAGCTAAACTGACTATCTCATCAGGAAATACATCCGAAAAATCTCATACTACCAGGATATTTAAAAAAGATTCAAAATCTATACTCCTATCCCAGAATGATACTAGAAATATTATGCAACCCTTTTTACAAAATCTATCTGCTTCTACAGCAGAAATCAAATAGGATAAAATACCTCTAATTCCCTGGAATACATAACTCTTGCTGCCTAAAAATAACATAATTTACTTATTCAAGCAATCAATCTAAGCCGCATATCGACTCAACTAAAATAATATCATATGAGAAAATGTGTAATAAAATCAAATTGGATTTTCACTTTTTATTAGAAATCTCAATATCATAGATATAAAATCGAATGGCTATCATACATTATCAAGTCAATAAAGTAACATAAAGAAATTGAAAGCAAGTGCAGTAAATTGAAGAAATATTCGATATAGATGCTCAGAAATGTAAATCGTACCTGTCACAATATCTGGAGCATCACGAGCCCCCTACTGAGTTAAATTGCATGCACATGATTGAACTGGAGCTGGAGCAATTGAACTAGTAGACTCTCTCTGACCACTGCCAGATGGCCTCCTTTCTATTGAACTAGAACAACCAGCGCTACCAGATGGTCCCTCAGAAAACATACGGAGAGGAACTGCCCTCGGTCTCCCTACCGGCCTTACAAAGCTCTCAAATTTGGGCTCAGAACGTCAGTCAAATCCTGCCCACTGGACACTCTGCTACTTAATGTCCTATCTGAACACATCTAAAGCACTATTCATTCATCCTGTAGCACTAACCAGAATAAGGTCTTTCACAACTCTGGCACACAGGTGCCCCACTAATAGAACTAGAACTGACTATGTTCCCACTACTAGAGACTGCTGTAGATACTGACTGTCCACCTCTCCTGGAGTCTCCAGTTGCAAATATGCTCTTAAAAAAAAACACTACCAGAAGTCTCGCCACTAAACCTCGTTCTACTAGCAGTCCACCGCTTTTGAGTAGCCATCAGATCATTATTTATCATACGAGCTCTCTCCACTAGCTCAGAGAAATCATAAATGTGAAATAGCACCAGAGACTATCTCAGACTATCTCGAAATCCTCTCAGAAACCTGCAACATTTTTGTGCGGGAGTGCTAACCAATTGTGGAGCATATCTAGCCAAAGCAGTGAACTCTGCCTCGTACCACATAACTATCCTACTCTCCTGAATCAACCTCAAAAAGGTCTCCTGCATCTGCTGTCGTGCAGAAGGTGGTACAAACCAAGCTCGAAATACATCAGTGAACTCCTTCCAGGTAATCGGAGAATTCAATCTCCCTTAAAATTTCTCCTCCTGCTGGCCCATCCACCAGTACTGTCTCTCCATCTAACATGACTGCTAATGATACCTTCCTCTCAGGAGGATATTGCATACCATCAAATGTCTTCTTCAGCCTCCTCAACCAATCATCTGTTGCTATGGGCTCAATAGTACCCTCGAATCATGTAGGATTCAATCTTAGAAACATTTGCAGATGTTTGTCTACCTCTTTAGATCTCAAATAGGAACCTTGCTTTGTGCCTCACCTATCATATGAGCTATTAAAGTAACAAACTATGAAATTATGTTTGAATCAACTATCAAAGCAGTACTATATATAGGAGCCGCCTGACTAGCATTCTGTCTATCTATTATATCTGGGTCTGGTGGATCCATGATCACATAGAATATGCAACTGAATATACATTCAAATGAAATAAAAATAATGAACAACTATTGTAATGACAGTAGTGGTGGCCAACTATTGCA